GTTTCGCACATACCTAAAAAAAATGAAGCATCTTCATTGTCCGTCTGCTTTTACCGCCAATAGATTTTTAAAATCCGCTATTTATGTGTATGCATCAAAACCCAATATAGTCTCTGAGGATCAAAGATGCATATTTTTTTCAGACTTTTATTCTGTGTTTTCACTACTGGTACGTTTCTCTATTACACGTTGATAGTTTTGCTTTGAACGTTACATTTTGAATAATCTGTTATTTAATCGGCTTAGCTAGCTGACGTCCCAACAAGACAGCTGGGTGCTTGCTCTGACCGAGCGGAATATTCAGTGCATGGTCAAGAAGTCTTTTATCCCCGGAGATCAACTCTTCTGGGGCTCAGGTGTCTGTGTCCATATCTTGATTCTAACTTAGCCTCTGCTTAATAAAGTGGAAAAGTGAATAACTTAAACCCATCCATCAAATTCCATGGTTAGTCATAAAAGAACAGTTTCTATGTTGATTCAGTACTCTGCCTTGTAGAGTAGATGCAACAAAGATAGAGACCTGCCTGGTACTGACAGCTGTGAAATGGGAAGTGGAAAAAACGTTCTTCAAATAAAAAGGGAAGTTGTGTCACTCTTACGCGGTATCAAGACCCTTCTGCCACAAGCGTCTTCTGGGAGTTCCTATCCTCTGCCACAGCGAAATACAATATATTGTGAAGACGTGACCCATATATAGAATCGCGGGAAATACGAAGAGTCATGCATGTCACCGAAGTGAGAGGGCTGTTCCTGACACAATACAAGTACGAAAATAACAAATTAAAATAGCGCCTATACACCTTTGTCTACGTTATAAAGTGAAAAACTGAAACGTCACCTTGCTTTAAATCGGAGTGAAATCTATCTGGATGCGAACAGATGTATCGAATAGGAACGAATGAAAGACAGGGTATCAGCGGATCAGCGTTTTTTTTGTTTAAAATCAGAAGCTACAAATCCAGTTAATGAATTTTTATAGACAGTGAAATATATACAAAATATTAACAATAAATGACATTATGTTTCTCAACAACAGTTATATTATTTTCATGTGTAAATGACTCACACTCACTGTATACATTGCACCTCATGGTGGCCATATGACATACAGTACTTGCTTTAGAGAGCTTGAGTATCTGATGGCGTAACTGACTGAGGTGTGGGGGATAGACAGTGACAACACCGATACCGGCTCTGGCAGTGAAGCAGGATGGAGGCCTGCACAGGCGCTGGTGATGGAGTCTCCCAGCGGGCAACACTGCCACTGTCTTGGTATGTTCAAAGCTGAGGAGAAGCCCCATTGGCTGCCCGCTCCTATGCAGCTGTCCAGACTGAACAAGAGTGGATATTTCCCACTTAAATATTGTTGGTTACAAGATCTTATTAAAGGTGAAAAAAGGTCTGACGTGATTTGTCTTGATTTCAGCCTTTACATCTACAAAAGCTGCCAGTCCAGGGGGGAGAAGCAGAATTCCATCCAGCTATCTATCTGTTTGCATGATTTGGTGTCTTCCTCGTACCCAGCAGCCATATCGCCCTGCGACTCCCAGCTGGCAGCCCCACTGGAGCTCAGCAGGTGTGAGCCTGGCCAGTACCTGGATGGGAGACCTCCTGCGAAACACTAAGGCTGCTGCAGGAAGAGGTGTGAGTGGGGCCAGCAGCACTGAGAAGAATGTCTTCTGAGCGGGCTGATGCAGTGAACTCTGACCTCTGACATATTACAACTTCTAAAGTATCATATAAAAGGCCAAAGGAAACATGTGTTTCTGCTGGGCTCCAGCAGTGCAGTGTGGCTGTTTTGGAAACTCCTGGATTCAAAGACATTTTCAACCTCTCCCTGTCCCCCGTCTGTGGTTCCTATATGCACAAAAAACCAAACAAACAAGGCAACATGCTTTTACTATTGTATATTGTAAAATATTTACAGTACTTGCCAGCCACTTCTATTAACTCTTGTCTTCATCTCTCCGTACACTGAGAGAACAAGCATGAGTGAGAATTCCAGTGTACACCTCACAAAAGGTAAATGAACTTTGAACTTTGAACTTTGAACTGAATTCTCATCTGCTTATATGATGTGTGATATTGTCTTCTCCTGTCCAAGAGCTGTACTAAATGCCTTGAGGAGCTTGTTTTACATGTAAACATTAGCTCATAAATGGATTGTTATTTATTTTGCAGATCTATTGTAGAGCGTTACTCTTTCATAGATTTATATCTCAGCCACATCACAGATCCACTGACGTTAAACTGTAATTGCCTTGCAAACAGCGAAAACCCTTGGGTTCTGGAAAAAAGCCACTTTAATGATGTAACACAGCTACAGGACACATGACGTATACATGCGATGAATTCGGAAATGTTGCGTCAGACCATAACGATTTTCAAGCCTATAGAATAATGCACACTTTTTCATTTTTGCTCTTATTTAAAAATAATATACCGTAATCTAAATATCCATTTAAGGTCCGTTTTAATTTTGTTTTATTTAATGTGATTGTAAACGAACAGGTTACGTATTTTGCAAATGCATAGCATCACGTTCCAAAGCAGACAGCATTTAGCACGCCCACTTGACATGCGCAGCGCAGCATAACATCTGACATGACTCAGGAGATTTCGCCGAGGTTTTCTGTCAGATATCCTGTGTGACAGAGGTGTGGGGCATGTATTGTTTGTGTGGGCAGGGGTTTGTAGAAATGTAGAACTGACCTGCAGCTACAATGCAATAGAACAATGCAACATTCTTGTGGTCGTCCTGACGTCCTAGCTTAGTGCGATACACACAAAGTACTGTATGATTTATTCTGACTCCCTGCATTAGAGCGGCACAGCCGATCTGCTCGATGGTCTGATCCTAAACAGAACGGGTGAGCTGTACGTTGAAAATGACACCCGTAATACCCTCATTGTTGGAAAAAGCAGACGCTGTTATATTTGTCATGTATTTAATTTTCGCTGACCTCAAGTTAGGCGGCCAAGACCTGTTGCTTTGTGCTTGCGCGTTGAGGTGCCTTCCACTGTCCCAGTCGAAAAAGCGCATAAGCAAAGTCAGGCACCATTTAGTTGAAAGTAACTGTTGGTGTGCCTTTCCTAATGCTCTGCACATCAGCAGAACCACATCCGCAGCGCGCAAACAAGTACCCGGCGAGATGATGTTTTCTGAAACTCGTCTTGAGGGGCCTGAGCGTCTTCTCTCCCCGCTCTGAGTGAAAGCGCCGGTTCACAAATCGTTATTGGCGCTGGATTAAGAATGGTTCAAGAAGTGATTCTGATTCATCGGAGATGCGTTTCTATTTTCCGACAACCGTGTGATATCATTTCATGCCAAAAAGCTGCTGTTCTAAGGAATCCGAAAGTTTGCCAAACCTGCATGTTTTCTGCTCTGTGTAGCGCTTCATACAAGTCGGAAAATGCAGATGATTCTTCAAGGGCTTTTGGAGTATATAAGGACCGTTGACAGCGATGGAGTGAATCACACCGTCTCTAAAACTGAAAGTCGACATGTCCTGGACTGTGCTGTTGGCAGACATTGCGAACACACTGGCGGCTATTTCAAACCCAGAACACGGCTGCAATTCGGTCTCGCACCATCTGGACTCACACAATATGGACTAGGTAGCGCTGAGCCTGTCACAGTATAAAAGCAGATTTTCCTTTTAAGACATGTTGGAGGAGACGGTTAAATAAATGCAGGACAGGTGAACACTGATAATAATAATAATAATAATAATAATAATAATAATAATAATAATAATAATAATAATAATAATATAAATTTTATATCCACAGATTTCCTGTTGTACATTTAGATGCATCATTTTCAAATAATACATCTTCTCCACCTCCGCTAGCATTAGGTGTTATATATTTATGTGAAATGAATGCATACTTTCTATGTTATTGTGCGTGCTGCGTCCATATTATTAGAGGGCACCGATATTATGTAACTTCTGTTTAGTACAATATATTTCCCAATGGTTAATGGGTGAAGAACATAACACGTGTAATTTTAGCTGGTCTTAAAAGCTTCCAAACAAAATAGTTCTTCTTTAAACTGGAGATGGTGTCAATTTTTAAATAAATCTTTAATGTGTTCATGGCTGCCAACGTTAAAGCCCCAAAGGTTAAGAAGAGTTCAATATCGCATTATTCTGTTATTCTATTCCCCAGTTAAAGTACCACACAGTACCACGCAGTATACAAGTCAGTTAACAGTATGTTTGAAGGATTTATACTGGTAAAACCCATTGGTCTCTGCCTCGTCTCGTAGTGTTAATAGCAGGATTTAGAAATGATAACTTTCTCGAAAATGTATTTTTGTGGTTTAGGCGATATTTACGTGATGACGACCCCAACAACCAAAATAATATATTTTATAACTGATATCACCACATGTAAAATATCCTAAACTACATAACACATTCTAAATTAATCACAAGCTTTCAGACTTTTCACTTACGTAAACTGTGATATTTTGTAAAACTGCCCAGTATATGATTATATTAAATATGAAAATCCTAAACAGTACGATGTCAAAATTATTCTTAATATTTTAAAGCTCTGTCTGGCATTGATACAAGCAATGTAATAATTAACTGATAAAGGCCTTCTCTTAATGTGTCGGTTTGTTATAACTTGTACAATCGATACAGTACATTAATTATACCGGATACAATTAATTTATTAAAATTATATCCAAGACTCTTTTGATTATGTTACGTTGTTAAATTGACTTTGATTATTTATTTTAAAGAGACACATTCAGCATGTTTTTTTTACAGAACGTTAGAGTAAACGTCACTCTGGTTAAAAGTCTGCGGGTTTTAAAATTATTTTATTATAAAACTGCTAGTTATAAAAGCAGATATTTAAAATTGTGTTTTGTTTTTAAATCTGCTTGTTAATTTAATTTGTCTGTTTAACCTTTAAGGTGGAAGCTCTTTGGATCACGTAAAACTACATCTAGTTTCTTGGGGGAAAAAACTAAGTGTTAAAACATGGAGGTAGGCATTTAGAAAAACAGACAAATCAACACTTGTTTAAATGGAAAAAAGGATTTAGATTTTGAAAGTCGGCATTAAGTTGTAATGCAACAATATACGTAGAATACCAATACACGGAAAATACATTGTAAGAACACCTACTCTTTTCATACCTGTTTTTCAGGGCAAATACAATTGGAATAAGTATGGAACACGAAAATATAAATTTGGGTGTTCATAAAATAATTCATTGTTTCTCAAGTTTTACAGGCGTGAAGTTTGACTTGTCTGTAACTGGACAAATAAAAAAACAGACTTCTGCGTTTCCATGAGGTAAGAATGTTGTCACCCTCGCTTGGCTGCGAGCCCGCCGTCTTACACTACATTTGGTGGAATCTTTGACTCACGTTGGCTATTTAATAGAATCAGTTCCTAATACTGCAGTTTGTTTATCGTTCCTGTTGTGACACAATGACACTGAAAGGAGTCCTGTGGCTCTGTGTTTTCTTCTGCCTGCCGCAGGTCCGGTCCAGTCCAAGCAGATGCACCTTCAAACAGCGTCTGATTGAAATCAGCCTGCAGCATCTTGATGAGCTGGTGAGACTGGACAGAAATCCATCAAGTTTCGAAACACGGAATCTTTTATTATTTAATGACTTTTTTTTTTTGCTCTTCCATTTAAGGGAGAACCTTTCTCTAAACACTGCATCAGAGACAACGTTTTAATTCCTTTTCCAAAGGATGCATACACGACTGCTGTGGATTCGCAGGTGAAGTGGAGTCTTTTCTTGGTGCTGCACGATCTCACCAAAGATAACCTAAACCAGTCGCACTTCAGATCAAAATAAATCGCTCATTCTAATTTTATTTCGTTTGCATGTTGTCACATTTAGCTTTTTTTTTTTTAATTTACACTCAGAGTAAATCTTTGTCTACATTGTAAGTAGTACTGGATGCGAAGGAGAGATGTGCTGTACTTCGTAAATTGGTCTGTTTTGAAACCGCCGGTGAAATTCCAAAAGAAGTTTCTATTAATGTAAATGTCGTGTAGACTCTCGCCCCGATTCTTGGGTTGCATTTCTCCAACTCGAGTTTTGTTTTCTTTGTTTTCCTGTGCGCAGGGAGAAATACAGCTGGTGGTTTATGAAACGCTGAAAAGCATTAACAGCCTTTTTGAGAAGGAAGACACGCCGTCAACATGGAACCAGAGACAACTAGATGACTTTCAGAATATCGTTTTTCGTCAGCATCATGAATTCAAGAGATGTGTAAGTTCCAAAACTTAGCGAAAAGCGTGTTACAAGTTATCTGGCTTTTTTTTACCCACATAGTGTCTGAGATGACTCGGCAAGTGTGGTTATCACGGCATAAACCCGAAAAAAGGTAAAAAAAAACAGAGAGAAATTGTTCTGAAACATGGACAATTCATGCATTATAATTGTTTTGAAGAGATCTGGGGAGAATTCTGGGCTGTCGTTTCCACAACCTGTCGCATGACTATGAATTCGATAGTCTCTTACCCAACCACCCACGAGGCTACATGCATTTCAAATAACATTTTCTTGAAACACGAAACTTCACCTTTAAAATCCCAAGATTCTACCGAGATGAATGGCCGAACATTATTTGCCCCTCAACTCGCTTTGAAACGCGCATCCCTTTTCATCTCGTCTTTTGAGTGTCTTGAGTAATGTAATGTTGATCAACATTTACTTGCAAATCCCGATCTTGAAAAGTCTCGCTTAAACTTCTGCGCTGTAACGCAGTGACGCTCCACGCAGATCTGATTAACGCTCACGGGTGGCTTGCCTTTTTAAATGTTGGGTGATTGCAGATGAAGAGAAATAAGGGCAGAAAAAGACTCTCCAATTCCTCATCCGGGGACAGGACTGCGCTGGTGAAGACCTACTTTAAGAAAATGCAAAGAGTTCTGGAAGAAAAGGTATCACATTAATCATATTATTGCTGAACTCTGATGGAAAACCTATTTTAAAAATCTATATCTCTGGGTCTATCTAATGTAATTCGTAAATTGTGCGCCTGTTTGGATGTAAGTCATATGATTCGTACGTCTTTGGTGTAATCGATACCAAAGTTTTCAAGTAAACTGTTCAACAAGTGGTTGTTAAAAATACCTTGTTTGTCCTACAGTTAAGCTTTACTGGTTAAAATTACTTTCTGTTTTAAGTAACAAATCATTGTGAATCTCGTTAACTATACTCTTAAATGTAACTTTATTTTGATATATTAATAGTAATTCTAATTTTGTTTTGAATATGTGATCACCTCAAATAAGGCACGTGTACTTTTAGCCCCGAATTGTATTCAGTGCCCTACTTTCTAATTTATTTTTCTTATTTCTTTCAGAATTACAGTTCCTGTGCCTGGGAAGTCATAAGAAAAGAACTTAGACAGGTTTTACTAATCATCCTGGACCAATTTTCTGACGGCTTGCTCAATACAAGCAGATGAGAATATTGATCGGCACATGTAAACCTCACTGGAATTTGCAGTGAGGTGGTAAATTATTTATTTGAGTAATATGTAAATATGAAAAGCGTATTATTCAACATAACTGATTCTATTTATATAACTTATTTATTTAAACTATTTATTGAATAACCTGGAATTATTTTATTTTTATAAAAATTATAATACTGTGGAGTGGTGAAACTGTGAAAATGTATTTCTTACATGCCGGGAATATTTAAAAATGAATAACAAAATTGTTTAGAAAAAGGTCCAACTATTAATGTCCACGAGTCAGTTATTAATCCTTAATAATGGATACATAGTACATTATGTGTTAACCAGTGACAAATATATATATAAGCAACAATACGTTTTACATGCTAAAGTGAGCCTTCACACAGAGTGACATGAAGCGTTTTTACTTCATTGCATTTAGGCAATTATCACATAACATCTTCGGTTTGGATGCTTGCTGACATCTTCAATCGTATATACGGTTTTTTGTATTTCAACAGGCATATTAAAGCTAGGTTAATAGAGGATAATGCATTTATAACTTGTCTATCGTAGAAAATACTTATCGTAGAGTACTTCATATTCATAATTAAGGGTTAACGAAGTGTTTATTATTGAACGTTATTTTTGAAGTTTGAACCGACTGTTAAGCCAATAAACGCTGGTTTTGAACATGACAGATTCATGTGTCTGGAATATTGAGATATTTCGATAAACCTACCATAACCTGCAAAAGAAGTCGTGTGGCTGACACGTTCTGCCTTCATCTACGGCTCCATAACCTTGATAGGTGGAGCTGGGGCTGAACCGTATAGGTGAAACCGAATGACGTGTTAGTACGGGACAAGGTGCAGAAACGCTCATGCAGGTGAAAAACAATGAAAACGTGCAGGTCAATAAGATAGGGACACCAAAAGCAGACGCTAAATTCGACATTGTCTGGCGCAACACCTGGCAATAAGCTACTCTGAGTTTCGGCTTGACAGTGATTGACTCTCTACAACGATGTTGTAGGCTGATGGATGTAGTCAATCATGCTGACACGAATTAGTTGAGCCTTAAGTTCCCTCGGGTGGAAATGCAGTAACTTCCTTAGCTATATTTCAAATTATCAGTCCCAGTGAATGATCTAGTTAATTACGTATTTTATATTATTTAATATACTTTATAATTCTATAAAGTAATTCTGCAGTCCTGTGATTTCTACTCTTTGTAATAGCATCGCCTCTCGCTGCTTGTTATTTAAAAAAAAAACACTGCACAGTACTTGATCTGTGTCATTTTGCGACCTCTAATTCCTGTTCGGTAGCGACAGGGTAAAAATGCATGACATCTAGTGCTCGGGATTTTTTTTGCGTTAAGAAATCGAGACAATCGTTGCAAAGCCCAAATAAAGTTTCTTTTTAAAGCTGGGATGCATCTTGGAAGTCAAGCAAATACAGACGAAATGTTACAGGTATGGGGGCTCGTTCACGGAGAAATGTGGGGGCTGTTCTGAGAAAACTGGACCACAGCAGCACCTTTTCAGCCGTGGGTATTAGCTGCATCAGTGTGGTGCTTTATCAGTGTGAGGCGGGTCTGTTGGAATCCCAGACGGTTGAATGGCTCAGCAGGTACCACTCGCAATATTCCATGGACAGGCACACAAACAGACCAGGTGCCTGTGTTGCTTTAAAGTGTCAAATGACTTCTACTTGCAGGGGAAAGTGGGGTTATTAATGCAATTCTAACTGGACTATAAATGCAATTTTAATAGAGTTATAATTGCATTTTAATTAATTAAATAACAGTGGTGCAGTCCTACAAGTAGGGGTATACCTGGATGATAAACTGGAGTGGACTATTAACAATGCCACTTTCTGTACAAGAAAGGTCAGAGCCGACTATTTTCTTAGGAGGCTCAGGTCCTTTGGTGTGTGTGGAACACTGCTACGCGCACCATCTTCTACGCTGTTGTGTGCTGGGGCAGCAGCATCATGGCAAGAGACGTAAATACTCAATAAGCTCATCAAGAAGGCTGGCTCTGTTTTGGGGCTGAATCTTGGCCCCCTGGAGGTGGTGGCGGAGAGGAGAATGCTGGCCAAGCTCACAGCCATCATGAACAACGCCTCTCATCCGCTACATGGGACTATTATTAGACAGCGGAGCACTTTTAGTAACACATTGCTCCAGCTACGGTGCTCAAGGGATCGTTTCCACAGGTCCTTCCTCCCAGCGGCTGTCAGACTGTATAACACTGCCCTAGGCTGGGCCTGTTAGCCCTTCATCTGCTCATCTATCTATGGACACTGCATTAATATACTGTTTATACTGAGGTATTTTCAATCTGTATATATATATATGTGCATTTTGCACATATTTTATGGTTTGACAGTGACTATTAGCACATTTTGCAAACACCTTTTTTACTATTTTATTTTGTATTCTATATACTTATTTAATTATTCTAAAACTGTAGTTATTTTAATTTTAGTCTATTCTGATGTCTGTTTTGCTTTTCTTGGGCTGGGCTGCGGTAACGCCTCAGTTTCCCTTCGGGATCAATAAAATCGTATCTTATCAACAACACACTAATGATAATTAAGAGTTTTATTCCCCCAAAAAAGTAACCCTTCATCGCCGTGTTATTTGACACTGCGATGATATGACTGATAATTGATCAATATGACTGATAATTTAGCTTCCACAACAAATACACAAATTCCACCGCAAAGTTTACTGCTGGACAACAAATAAGGAAGTGACAACCGTTGCCCTTTAAATGAGGTTGTGCAAGGGAGACGAACTCCCTTAAAGTACAGAAACTAACAACCATCTTGAAAGACCAAGCCAGCCCGTACACTCCAGGACGAAACCGACGTGTATTGATTCCTTATACTTTGCCTTTAGACCGACAGACAGAGCTGTATGAATCTGTATTATACGGGCAGCGGGAACTTTGATATCAACTCATAGTCTGCATTACATTCGAAAGACCCGCTGGATCACTTTTCTTTCACAATAGTTTCTGCCACTGTGGCGTGGGCGAACGGTAATGGGATTTGCAAACAAAATTAGACTGATAGGCCTACTTGAGAATTACATGTTACATTACAAGTTTCAATATTAAAACGTCGCTGCTACAGCCCTAAAAAAAATCTTCATGAAACACAGGAGAAGCCGAGACGACGATTCCATACAAATCACTTCTAAGAAAAGAGTTCTTGATCGTTAGTATGGACTGAACATCATCCCTTTAAAGTCCATTGTAATCACAAAATGTTAACAGTCCATTTTACAAGCTTAGTATTCTTAATCCTATCCATTATCGCCCCGACGAGTTAGAAATAAAAACTATTGCACATGAAAGACCGAATGATGATGATTTGCGGAACCTTCTCAAGAAGAGAGGTTAAGGAGGATATACTGAGGGTCACGTTACAAAATGAACTTCGAACAAGAGAAAACAGCAGCTTTTACGCTTTAATGTTAGGTTTAAATACTCAGGCTTCACTAACCGCAAACAGCAACGCTAAACAAATCGCTGTAATAACAGCATCACACTACACACCGACAATAAAAACCACGCAGCGCGGATGTTTAACACGAACTTCATCGAAAGGGAAAATCCTGCTCCGCGGTGTCATTCATCAGGGATTTCGTTTTCACTTCTTGTCCCGCTCTCCTTTCTCTGGACTATTTAAGCCGCGATGGCACTAAGGAAAAACACGCACACGCGAAATTTGGTGAGACACCTCCGTGAGGTACTCCGATCATCTTGTCCTCCCTCTCGATCACAGCGTTCGATTAAGCTGCTTTGACTTAGAAGAGTCTTCTGTTGCAGGTCACACGTCTATACGCCTGTTACCACAATGGAACTGAATGGATCCCTGTGGCTTTGCGTTGTCGTTTGCCTCTCGCAAGCTTGGTCGATGCCGACGAAATGCGCCAGATATCAATGGTTTCTGGTTGAAAAAAGCCTGGACATTCTTGAAAATCTGGTGAGGTCGAAGTATTCACACCTGAAGAAGGCTCCACGGCCGAAACGTTGTTTTCTTTCTTCTCTTTTCAGCATGGAATAAACCTATTACTTGTTCATATATATATATATTAAAATGTATAGTTGTGCTATTGTTATTTAATTATAAATTAAATCTCTCCTCATGTCATTCATTTTAAGGGAAAACGTAAGGGAGAAGGTTTCAACGCAGACTGCATCAAGGACAACGTCGTCACCGCTTTCCCTGAAGACGCCTTCTTGCTTGCAGACGACGGCCAGGTGAAGACCGCTTTTTCCTAGCGCTGCGTGACGTCACGCTCGTGAACAGTATAAACAGTAGGAGTATCTTAACACACGCGGTGACGTCACTCAAGTCAGCGGCGATTACATTCGTGGTGTTGATGCCGTTCAGAAAGGAGCTCAGATAAATATGATGTGTTGTGCCCGCTGGAGATATAATGAAGTAGCTCAAGTAGGGAGCCGCATCAGCATGCTTAGGCTGTAAAGGAACAAGTAAAGGTTTATTCCACGTTGAAAAGAGACATAACGTTTCGGGTGTGTGTCGACACCCAAAGAAGGCTCCACAGCCGAAAAGTTGTTTTCTTTCTTCTTTTCAGCGTGGAATAAATCTTTACTAGTTCCTAGAGATAAAATTGGGTTTGTTTGTTTTTTCCCCCCTTTCCCCGAACTCAGGAAGAAGACATCCAAGTGATGGTTTTTGAAACGCTTCAGAGTATTCAGAGCCTTTTTGAAAAGGGAAGAAAGCCGAAAAAATGGGACGAATTCCGAGGCATCGTTCACCGGCAGCTTCAAGAATTCAAGACTTGTGTAAGTTCCGAACCGCAAAGACTAGCGGACTAGCAGACTCTGCGAAATGTATCCGCCTTTCGTACCGACTCAGCAGTGCGCATAACCTACACTGGCATTTGTGTCGATCGCAGGGTCCGAAACACCGATTGGGCAGCGAAACGATCGACCCTGAAGATATAAATTCCTCTGATGCCAACAGAAGGA